AATACGTTTTATAATGTTTAACAATTTACAACCTTATCTTCATAGAAAGTCTTATTTTTTTCTTGAATGAATCAGCATCGCTTACACAAAACACACAGACAGAATGATAGAACTTTTTTTTCCAAAAAGATATTCAGGTTCAAGTATAAGTGCGTCAATGAGATAAAATTTTGCAGCACCATTAAAGGATAATTCAGTCAAAGAAGCCAGAAAATTTGCAGAAAACTAAGTGACTAAGCACAAAGGTATTTCTTCTTCAAAAACTGTTTCAATTATTATTAGCCATATTCTTCAATACTCTTTGAAGATTTTGTTCTCATTTTCAGCGTCCTATCATTTTTTTCGCCCAAAGGTTTTCATTAAAAGATAAATGGTTTATCAGTTTAAAAAAATCAGTGGAATTTAGCGACAAATATTTTAAAAAATTCCATGGAGGGAATTGTGCCAAGAGGGTATTAAAAAATTACACACTAAATTTACCAAAAAATATTTTAATCCAATTTCATCTCAATTCGTGTTAAGACTTAAATGCAGCCTGTCTCGAAGTTGTTACTTATTTAACCTATTTAAAGCCAGACCTACAAAAAGAGAAAGTAAAGTAAGCAGAAATAGGTACAATACGATATTCCAGACTCATTTTCTACCGTTTAATCTATCTGCGGTAGGAAAAGATTACAAACAGTATAAATGCCAAATTGATCTTCCCAGAGGGTTGATATCCATGGTTTCATTTGATGATGAAAAATAAACAAGTAATTCTTCGGTTTAATTGACATTTTATAACAATATGATTCATATATGTAAACAGTTAATATATTTCCCTTTAGCAGGGATAAAGACATTCCTATGTATTTGATCCATCCTGCATAAATGTTTCTAGCGTAATTTTTTTTTTTTCGGTTTGGATGCAAATAAACATTCGATTTCAGTTTTAAATTCTTCACAATGAATAAATGACTTTCACTCTGAAAATGTTGCAATGATTTGAAAAGACAGGGAAAGGACAGGAGAATAACGAGGAAGAATCAAAACTTAATCAAAATCTTTTACTGTCTTAACTTTTCCCTAAATGTCTTGGACAATATGCGGATGAAGATCAACATATCTTGAAAATTAAACAATGATGGGCTCATTTTTTAAAAATGTTTCTTTCTTTTTTCTTTCTGATCAATGTCATCACCTAATCAATATGGTGCATGTTATGCTCAGAAATCACAAGGGTTGCCTTACATTTTCCCGTTTGAATCTGTTTCCTCTCATATTACGTAAGTATGGTCAGCGTAACTGGTCGAGAATTAAACTGATCATGACGATCTAAACATAAAACTACAGTTATAAAATACCAAAGTATCGTTGAAGGGTGTCATCATGGAAATTAACAAAAAACACCTATTCTGGACATGCAGTTGTTTCGGGGAAGCAATGAGACCATCGCCGAGAGATGAGGCAGGTTTAAATACATACAATATTTTTCTTAATGAATAAATTCTTTATGTTTTTTGTTGTAATTTAGAAACAGCGTCAATGCAAATGATGCACTTTTTCCAATGTTTGCAATGAATAAATGCAATATAATCGTTGATATTATAAAGATTGAGAACATTCATGAAGTAAGCAAGAGGCCAACACTGTTTTTTGCTGCACTGATCGGCTGTATAAACTCCTACTTTGCTACTATTAGCGAACCGTATTACGTTAGCATCATCAAACTTAGCATCATTATGAATTATTGAAAGAAGCATGACACATTTGTTTTTCTTTGGAATGACTGAAACCATTGTCACATTTTGATTAAATGTGAACGAGAAGATATTTAGTATTGGTGATGCCTTCTGGGATGTCTCGTTTGATTTTTCTGGCTATTCCAACAGAGGTCGACCTCTTCCATTAAAATTCTTCAACGAGGCCAAAATCTTTAAAGTAATTATCAGCGGTGGTATTTCTTCCGCTTCCATCAAATGGCTCGACTAACTGTTTAACTACTTTGGATGCCAGTCCAACTATAGGTTTTCCATCAGCTTCTTTGCCTGAATATGGTATTCCATCATAGATATATCCAATGATGCAATCCACTAGAAGAAAAAAGCTTCATGTCATATTTCTCTGGCTTTGAAAGTAGATATTACCTGAATGGACATCTCCTTCATCGATGCACAAATGCTTTGAAGGATGATAAGTTCTTTTTGCACTGTGAAATGAACAAATCTCATAACGTACAGAATAAAGCAAACATATCAAATTTCTTCCTCTCCTGCCGTATATCTAAGTTATCAAAGCGAATACACTGAGTAATTTCTTCAAACCGACTCCTTGACATTATCGCATCAAATCTGGCCTCGAAAGCGGTTCATATTTCCACATCTCTCTGATTCTTCCATGATTCCCTTTCGACACCATGGCAGCCATACAAAAGACCAAAATATATATGACGTTCTGCCATGACAAGAGTTTGCCAGACTGTTTTCATGCGTACATGTTTGTCCATTATACAATCATTTCGATAATTTCAGTGGTCAAGCATAGATCCAAATCTTCTTGCTTTGTTTTCACTGTCGATATAAGTTTTCGATTACCATTGAAAATATTTGCACCACGAGTTTTTTTCATTCTATTTGTGATTCTTTTCATATTATAGATGAAACTTATGCTACAACTGACAAGGGAGATGTCATCTATAATGACAGACCAATGTAAAATTAACTGTTGGAGAAATGTGTATATCTACTGTGAAACCTTACATACCAAATAATTACGAATTTCGACTCAGGGGCTTAGGGAAAAGGGTTAAAATCCTCCAGGAACGATGGCTCAAAGCGTTAAAACAATTTAAAATTAATATATCTATTTGAGCAGTGAGTCGAAAAAACTGATTGATAATAAGTATGTGTTTAATCTCTTAAGAAAAATTTTAATTTGGAAGGAAAAACACTGTATAATTTTCCATAAATTTTGCATTTTTAAATTCTTTCAAATATTCCTATCATTTGATCCATACAACATGAACATTGGCGTTAGACTAATGTGGCAGAGAAATATATTTCTTCAGCAATATGCTTCGATGGTAATTCTTAATTACACGAGTTTTAGGGATTGTATGTATTTTTATATCTGTATTAAAAAACTGGCTTTAATTCTGATGAATGCAAAACAGCGTTTCTCTTTAATTCATCTGTCTGCAAATGTTTCGTTAAATTAGGATTTGACCTCAAAATCAAAAGGACACGATCAAAGTTAGAAATCACATTTCATATAATTGAAATTTGAAATATGCTATTAGCAAATTTGCTTCATTAAAATACGCAACCTACACATACTCTGACAGACTTATTAAACATTCATGTGTTCTAGCGAGAGAATAATGTACACTGGCGTATAAAGGCTTTGGAACAACTTCTTAAAGTTAGAATACAGTGTAATAATAAATGTAAGCTCTTTAAAATCTTTATTCAACTTAGAATACACGGTTCACGTATAGTGTCCATTTATAGTCTCAGTAAACAGAAATAGAGGAGAATAACAAAACAAGGGGAGACTATTCGTGATTGTTCATAACATACAGTTACGATTATTAAGCAGTATGCTTTTCCCAGTAGTATCTGTGGACATATAGGATTGGAAAATAAGTTGTGTTTTCATAGCTGCTGTATTCTAAAAGATATACCGCTTTAAGCAACTTGAAACTGTAAAAAGAATCATACAATACTGTTGGACGAATAAAAGTTCTGAGATGATAATAACACGATAATATACACATTTCTAAGAAGTAGCTTTTCCATCAAATTAGCATGAATATAATATAACTTCGTAGATGCATATTAGTTTGTTTTCTTAGACGATAATGGCTAAAATATCCCCTGCAAACCGATGACGCTTTTGACTTTGAGGAGTAAGCTGACTCAACGAATCACAGCCAGACAGCAAAGAAGTCCCAGACACAGTGTTCATACCACACAAAAGATGTTTGCTAATGAGTGTTTTTATTACGTGCAAATAACACCGGGAGAAAGGCAGAGAGATGAAAGAATTATTTTTAGAATCTCGGTAGGCAATCCAAAATTAACAGCCAGACGTGAGGAATGAGTGTAGCCATAACAGTGAGGTATTAATTGATAGAATACTCAGGTTATTTCGATATCAACATCAAAATGCGTATAGCAGCAAGAAGAACATCGGAATAGAAGACAGAATTGGTGAAAACAATATCTAAGAATGGCACGCTAGAACATAGCAAAAAGTAATTATTTGATAATGAATCGATTCTATAGGAACTGTGTCGTTCGATCTCGTTCGACGGCACCAGTTGTGACGTCACGTGCTCTCCAGGCTTGATATCCTGGTCTGGACAGCACCAGTTGTGACGTCTTTGCCGCGGCGTCAGCTGTTCGCTCCTCGCTGCTCCAAGTGTGACGTTCTAACCCTTTGGTTAGATGAATACCAGCCTCGTCGTTCCCAACTCGCTTCCAACGCCTGGTTACTAGGGTAACTGCACTGATCTCCGGTCTGCCTACCCACGTTGTGATTAGATCTTAGACAGACGGGATCAAACAGGGATTGGGGCCGTATGCAAGCTGGGTTCAACGGGGGTGATAACACACAAGAAAAAAGAAAAAAAACTCACAAGGTCAAAAATTATTGAAAAAAAAAGGTAACAACCTTTTATATCTAAATGTTCGTTACACAAAATTGTTCCTACCTCCTGACCCGTTTTGTGGACTGTGGCACCAAGCTTCTACCATACAACTTTAAGACTTCGAGTTGCTTGTTCTCTAGAAATTTGCATTTCGGGGTGTGGTTTGCTTTCAACACTGGGCGCTGATCTCTGCCTGTCGTTCACGGCTGATTTCCCTCGCCGTCAGTGCGCGAATTAACTTCTTCTCTTCTGCTTCGGTTGGACGAATTTATTCACTTCGACTTGTCTTGGACGAATTTCTATTCTTAGGCTTGGTTTGATTCCAACTTCTCCTAGGCGCAACTGCAAGTTAACTTCTTCTTCGTCCGAGGCGCAAACCCAACTCCAACTGCAACTTCTCTTCCGGCCTTCTTCTGCCTGTTGGCCTGCAACTCTTCTGCCTTCCGGCCTGCAACTCTTCAGGGTTGCAACGTTCTCTTTCTCTAGGCGCAACTGCAAGTTTCTTCTTCTTCGTCCGAGGCGCAAACCCAACTCTTCAACTGCAACTTCTCTCTCGCCGTCCGCCCTGCAACTCTTCTGCCTGTCCGCCCTGCAGCTCTTCTGCCTGTCCGCCCTGCAACTTTTTCTTCTTTCTTCCGGCTGCAACTCCAACTTCTCTGCCTGTCCCCAAAACGGACCGGCCTTCCCTTGCCCGCAAAGGGGCGAATGAACAGGGCCTGCCGTCCGCTCTGCAGCTCTCTCTCGCCGTCCGCCCTGCAACTGATTTCTGTCGATTGGGGTCCTGCTTTTATTGACGCCGTAACAAACTGGGGTGGGTCTGTCGGCGCCAGGGTTTTCTTGATAATTCTAAAGTCGTATTATTTCTGATTTCCCCATTATCGCTCTTACTTTCCTCCTACTTCCTTACAGTGCCTCTGGGGGGCGCGCATACCCTTTCCCTGGTCCCTCGTATGTCAGGTGACCGCTCTCGACCAATGGGGTCCTGGTCGAGCATCTTTCCTCCTCCCTCGCACATCACGTGACCGCTCTCGGCCAATGAGACTCTGGTCGGGTGTCTCTCCTCCTCCCTCATGTATCATGTGACTGCCCTCGGCTAATGAGACTCTGGTCGGTATCTTCCCTCCTTCCTTCGTGACGTCTCCAATCGGGCGTGTACAATCCGGGGCTTTGTTCTGGGGAAGAAACACCTTGCTAAAAAAAACAAAATTTAAATTGTCCTTTTCGTACGAAAATGACGATCCATTTTCTTTCACATTTGGCATGTCAAAACAGCCTATCGCTAATTAGATGTGACTCCAGGAAAGAATTTTTCCGACCTGTCGGCGTCTTCCGCGAGCTAAAACAAATATTTCACCTCTTTCTTTCGCTCGGGGCCTGTTAACAAAATCTTAATTATCTAAATTGAAAATATTTTCCACTCATCATCTTGGGTGGTTTTTATCTTCAACCCTAGAAATGGTCAGGGTTCGTGTATTAATGTTTTGTTTTCGTATACATTTCCCCAGCGGTTACTTATCATCTCAATGACACCCTTTTCGTTCGTTACTTATTAATATTTTTTTCATTGTCCCTAAAATCTTATTTCTTCAACCAAATTGATAACAAACTCCCATACTCCGCGGACACGGAAGTAGGTCAGGTGCTTGACCGACATCTGTTATGTATCAATCGCGCGTGTGCTTATTCGCTTACGACCTCGTTCGTATCATGTTCCTGTCTTTCCCTTTCTTTCTTTTTATTATTTCTAAACTCTATTTCTTCAACCAATTATAACAATTTCTATTTTTCGTGGATTTCGGTCAGGTACTTTGACCTAGATATCTTTTGACACCTGTTTTGTGTCAGTTTAAGCGTGTTTTTTATGACCGGGTTTTGTACCATCTATTTCTCTTTCTTTTTTTTTTTTTTCTTTTTTTTCTTTCTTTCGGATCGCCTAAATACAATTAGAGAATTATTCTCAAAACTCAATTATTCTTCATCTCTAAATAACTATCAACTGGTTAACAAACCGAATAAAAATAAATCATATATTTATGAATATCTCTCTTCAGTTTTCTAATGATGCATGGTGCCACACAGCGAAAACTATATTAGTTGATTTCGGTCTCTTCAACTCGCAGACGAGGAAAATGGGGAATTTTTTTCAGCGTGACGTTGCACATTAGCACACATGAATTGCAACCAAAAAGTTTCTCATGGATGAAGATGTTCACCTTTTGGAAAGCTTGTCAGCACAAAGTCCTAATCACAAAATAATTGAACCATTGTGGTGTGAACTTATGGAACAAGTGCCCCAACAAAAATCACACAATTTGCAGGGTCCTTGAGATTACTGCCAAGAAGAATTTAAAAAAATTCCCAATCCGAATATCTTGTTCTTGTGCCATTCAATACTACATAGAACTGTGGTGCGTACCTCGAGGTGGCGTAATTGTTACCAAGCTTCTCTGGCTAGAATAATTACGAGTGAGTAGTGAGTTCAGTTCTCACTGGGTGCCCCTTACTTTCGCTTACTTGTGCCACATCCATGCTACGCTTGGAAAATCAGTGCTACACAGAAATGTGGAATTTATTTGCTTAAAATATAACAACATTAATACGTTTCTGTAATTCGTGCTTTTTTGGAAAAATAATTTATTTTAAACTTAAGAAAAGATCTGAAAGATGAAATTTACTCTGGTGGGCAAGTATATTTGCCTAGCCCTATTTCAGCGTTAATGTGCTCATGATGCTCTTTCAGACAATATATTGCATTGACAAAAACCCATTGCTTTTTGGTTTGGTGTGGTTCGTCTAAGGGTAATTTAAATCTGAAATATAATTTTTGGGGGAGTTTTGGTGATTTCTTTTCAAAAATGTGTTGCTCTAATTTTTCTCTTCCTTTTCCAATATGTTTGGTAATTTTTTTTACTATGAAAATGTATCGCTGTTATTCATAATACAAAATATATTTTTATACTTTCAGAAAGTTTTGACCCCAGTTTGTGGGTTCGCTATTTGCCCGTAACTAGGAATCTAACGGGTGTTACCACCCCGGATCATAGTAGACGTAAGAACAACAGCAATTAAAAGATTGTTTCTGGCTCTCAGTGTAATAAAACCTGCTGAAAGAAGTATACTACTAATCAGTCACGATTTTGAGGCTAATATTAACGAAAATATATGGCCCGAAAATTTTGCACAGCAGTGTATACCGATTTAGTCCACGAAACTCTGACCAAGATAATTCGATTAGGTGTATCGCCATTTTTAATCTAATATCTAGATATTTTTAACAGGAAATGAAATGAATAACTACATACGAAATAGAAAACAGCGTAACACAATAATTTATCTCCTCGGTGGATTTATTCTACAACGAGACATCTGTAAGAAACCTTGTAAACCCAACCATGAAATATTATTAGTGAGCAGAAATCTTAACAACACAAGACACGCAAATGATACCGTGTTGTATGAAGACCCAGAAAGAAAACTGCGGGAACTCCGAGACAAAGTATTATCAGAAAGCAGGAAGAAACTGTGATTAATTCTAAGAAGACTGTATATATGGTTGTTAACGGATGTAAATGAGAGCTACAAATCATAGAACCATCCCCAAGCAACTACAGAATGTTTAACATTCATGAAGAATTTAACATATTGCGAAAAACCGAAATCCAAACCCTCATCTGATTCGCAAAGTATGCAACCCCAAATGTTACATAATGTATTATGAAAGAAAATATTCATTTCAAACAAAAGGTACCGATCAGCTATTTTTTATCAGTCGTCATATATGGCAGTGAATACTAATCAACTTCCTCAAAAACGAAGAGAAGAATTTAAGCAACAGAATTCTGATTCTGTAGAAAGATATTGTGACCATGATGCAGAATATGAGCAACGAGAACGTTTTGAAGAAAAAGAAAACAGAAAGGTCACTTATACTTAGAGTCAGAATTTTCTTAAATTCTGGACAGCATAATGAAGAAAGAAAGCTCGAAAAACTTGATACTCACAGGGCATATTCAAAGCAAGACGGTTAGAAAAGACAGGGAACCCTAGTGAGCACGAATGGCAAAACAGACACGGAGAAGGATAGAAAAAATATCTAAGGCTTAATAAAAGCGACAAAGGATAAAAAGTTGTGGAAATCTATGTTTGCCTATGTGCTAAATGGACAAGGCACATAGAAGAAGAAGAAGAAGAAGAAGAAGAAGAAGAAGAAGAACAACAACAACAACAACAACAAGGACAAGAACAACAAGAAGAAAGAAAGAAAGAAAGAAAGAAAGAAAGGACTAAATTTGGCAAAATACTTTTATTATAATAATTTTTGTTTAAAGATGATTTTCCATATACTTCTCATTAAATTAAATTATTTTCGGATAATTGTCAAATGTTCTTTATGTTTATAGCCTTCCATCAGTAGATGTACACTCTGAGTTCTTACAGTGTTTCATTCTGAATTTGGAGGGTAACTTTAACTCTAGTTGAAATAGTTTAAGTGAAAACTTATCATCCTGCTCCATGAGTTTAATAATCATGTCGTGTATCTATGTCTACTCCATCCAAAATTTGAACAAGTAGCTAGTGTGCCATGAAAGGCATACTGAAGGATATACCCCAGACATCAGACACGCCGTTCCATCCACATTAGCACCAGCATGTCTCTATTTCTTCATTATCTACCATATATTTTATTTTCCAAGTTGCTTTCATTTTCACTGATGTCATATTTTTTTCAAGCACCTAATTGATATTTTTCCTCTAATTTCTATGATTACATAATTAGATAGTCTTGTGGTTTCTGAGAAAGGAGAGTGTCCTAAAATAATTATGTATATATTGAGAAATATGTCAGATTAAACACTGCAACATTTTGAAAAAACTATGATATATATATATATATATATATATATATATATATATATATATATATATATATATATAATATATATATATATATATATATAAATATATAATATATATATCTAATTATATACATATATATAATATAATTATATACATATATATAATATATATATCTACTTATAATATATATATATATGCATATATATATATATATATATATATATATATATATATATATATATATATATACATAAATTTTGATATTTTTGAGGTGTTCTATATGGGATAAAAGTGTGCTATATCAGAGATAGAGCGTATGTAAATATAAATATAAAAAGTGAACACAGAAGTCAACACTCAGCGACGACAGACTGTTTGATGCTAGACGCAAACGTCAGGGCCCTATATATATATATATATATATATATATATATATATATATATATATATATATATATATATATATATATATATATATATTGACCTGTCGACTACATGCATTCAACGTACGTATTTGTAATTTCTCTGTAGACAATACATCTTCAAGTAAGATGAAATCAATGATAGTTAAGAACGCACGCAAACTTCACTTATGTTTACTGTTAAATCTTTTACAAATATTCCAACGTGTATCCAAAGAAGTGCAGTCTTCGTTTTCTTCTATTTATAAATGATGGAGCCTCTTGGAGACAAAATATCCATACTCATTTCCTTTGAAGAACTAATCAACTATCACATTTCCACAAAAGCAATACGTATTTTAGAGTATAGAATCCTAAGTATTCATAAGATTTCTTTTTCTCCC